TTCATCAAAATTTGGGCCAGGTCGGCGGTAAAGTTGATCACCTGGCACTGTTATGCACCCATTGTTTTTCCATAGTGAGACGGAAAAAAAACGTTTTTCAAACATGGAATTCTATTAACGTTGTACACATTTGTATATTTAAATACATCATAAGTGATATGAATAAATAATTCAGAGTTTTTACTTTTTTTTTTCTAATGTGTGTGTCATGACCACTTTACTGCTAGAGAAGTGTCATTTTCACTCCCTGTGCGTTTTCTGTGTAGAAAACATTCAAAGTTGTATATAAACTGTGCTATTTAACAGTTATCAGCACAGATGCCCCACTGGATTCACAAAAAAAGTATTTCTGGACAGTCTTGTTTCATTTTGACCCCCACTTAATGTGTACCACGTCATTTTGCAAAAAGACTTTACACAGCAGTTAAAGTTGATCTTTATGTCTTTCACAATCCTCTGAACTTGTCTGCAAACAATATGTTGAGAGTTCAGATTAAAATGCATAATTTCTTGTTGCCTATACCTTAACCTTTAGTCAATAAGTTCATTTTGATCCCTTGTTACTGTTTTGCACCTATTTGATAGGCATCGTTTTGCCAAAGTGAGATGGAAAAAGAAAAACTTATTCAAACATGGAAGTGAAATGAAAAACAAAATTACTTGTAGCTTGTACTTTTTGTCCTTATGATTATACCCTTACTTTGATCACCTGTCTATGTTTTGCATTTACTTTGACAAGCATATTTCTACAGTCAGATGGGGAAAAAAACTATTTAAAATAGGTGATTTCATAAATTTTGTAGACATAAGTACATTTAAACCTTTATGAGTGACAAGAAAAACTGTATTATGAGATACAAAACCCTGAGTTTTACAGGAACATGATAATGAATTTGGATTTTTTTTTTAAAAGAATAAGACCATCACCAAAATAAAGACTGGTTAGTGTCATATTTGGCACAATCCACATTTTTACAACAAACAACATATACTGTGACAATGATGAACAGTTTATTATAGTTCTGTTTTTTTAACTTCACACAAAAATGGTTAAAAAAAATATAAAACTTACCGGTAATTTAAAACAGAAACAAGTGTTTCAGTTTCAATAGTTAGAAATGCCCTTTTATGATTAAGACTAAAGACAGAAGACTTCATAATACTGTTGGCCTTTTATAGAGCTATAATTGAGCTATGGTAGCTTTGGTACATCAACCTGACTGATCAAACAGTGAATTTCATAAATTTTGTAGACATAAGTACATTTAAACCTTTATGAGTGGCAAGAAAAACACATTTGGGAATTTGACTGTATTATGAGATGTGCGTGTGTTTGCTGACTTCTTCTGGACTTTTAACAGCATTGTCATGTTATTACTATACACAAAATATAGCTGAGACTGAAGGGAAAACCCCTGAGTCAGGAATATGATAATGAATTTGGATTTTAAAAAAAGAATAAGACCATCACCAAAATAAAGACTGGTTAGTGTATATGAGGCACAATCCACATTTTCACAATAGACAACATATACTGTGACAATGATGAACAGTCAGTGGCGAATCTAGAGTCTGTTTGGGCCATAGGCAAAAAATAATTGGGGGCCCCTCCAATCACTATTATATCCAGCAGTGTTATGACACTCTTCCTCTTTATTTTTTCTCTTTTTTCTTTTTTCTCAATGACTTGTCTTCATTTTCCTTAAAGGGGTCATATTATGCTTTATCTGGTTTTATATGCTCTTTAGTGTGTTTTCCATGTGTCCTGTGCATGTTTAAGCACATGCAAAGATTCCTACCTCCTCCTGTTAGCTGTAGCATTAGCTGCATGTAACGCTCGGTTCTAGCCCCCCTCTAAATCTTTTTTGCCAGTGTGACGTTTTGTCAGTGTGATATCACTGATCTAAGCCCATTGGCTCGTTGTGGCAAGTCCAGCAGCTTATGTTGCAGGCCCATTAACTTCTGTAGCACGTCCAAGATATGCGGTAGCACAGTAGTGCTAAGGTGCTAATGTTTTTGCTCTCCTCGGAGCCAAAGTGGCTGCATTCCCAATATGGTAAAAGGGGCGTGACATTTCCGAGAAGTGTGCTGAGCGACTGACCAATTACGGCAGAGCCGACAGGCCGACCAATCAGATCAGACTTGGCACACGTGGGCACTTCAGAGCCTTAGAGAGAGAGTCAGAAGCGAGCCAGTGCATGGAGTGGTAGTACATGAAAACAGACACTTTTTTAAAACTTTAGTTATTGTGAACATACTTTAGTAGGTACATAGATTAAATATACGAACCCCAAAAAGGGCATAATATGACCTCTTTAAATGATTTTCATTGACAAGCTAGGTTTTCACAGGAGTAATATATGATATGCTAAGCAGGGCAATGAGAGTGAGTGCTGTCAGATGGAGCCCCATTTAGGGGGTTTCCTACTGTCATAGCTAAATTTGCTCATTTTGAGTTACTGCTGTTGTTTAAAATTTGTCAGCCCTCAGGGGCCCCTAAGTGGCCTGGGGCACCAAGCAGTTGCCTGCCTGTTGACAAGCAGCGCCTCTGTGAACAGTTTATTATAGTTCTGTTTCTTTTTAACTTCACACAAAAAGGGTTAAAAAAATTCAAAACTTAATTCAAAACAGAAACAAGTGTTTCAGTTTCAATAGTTAGAAATGCCCTTTTATGACTAAGACTAAACACAAAAGACTTCATAATACTGTTGGCCTTTTGTTAGAGCTATAATAGCTTTGAGTACATCAACCTGACTGATAACGAGTATGCAGGTCTAAATCCTAGATATTTCCATGCCCACATGTCTCTTGCTTCAAACATTGCAGGATTTAATATTTATTGTATTTAGTATTTGTCTTGAAACATATACTCAACTCAGGAAAGATAGATGTGAAATTAAAGGAAGAATATGTGATTTTTTTGAGCCCTTGAGCACCAGCATGAAACCAAAACAACTTGCGCTGCATTGTTGTGTTAGCATGCTAATGCTAGCGATCTTTATTATGCTCGTATCTTCACACTGCATGTAAATTTACCTGAAATGAGCGTGATCTAGAAACACAGTTAAGCAGTGAGTACAGTATGTTATTCTTCTTTTCTCTAGTCCCTCAATTAAACAACTTTTATACACGAGGGGAGGAGTCAGCCGGCCGTCCAGGCGATGTAAACATGCTATAGATACGGCTCGGAAAGCATCACAGACAGTGGGACTCGGGTGTTACACCCATTGTAGACAGTCATGACTCACAGAGTTATTTTCAGAGGAGATATTTGATTTCTATTACATTTAAGTGTGAAAAATCACATACTCTTCCATTAAGTACATCTTCTATAGTAAATTCCTAATATGCAAGGGTTATGTTACCAGTGCCTCTGTACCAAATCTAAGGAATGTAAAAGGAAGAATCTGCGATTTTTGATCCAGTAGATGTCGCCCTTGAGCACCAGCATGAAACCAAAACAAACTGCTGCTTATTCGCACGAAGGAGTTATCAATTGGAACAAACAATAATTAAGCACCATTATGCGCAAGCAGCATACACAGCAAAACGAAAAGAGTAAAATTTTTGGTGTTTCAGCAAGTGCAGAGTTAATTCTACTCTGGATGCAGTCAAATCCCTGTTAGAGTCAAAATCGAGTGTAAAAACGAAGTGTCAAGTAATCAAATCTGTAAGTGTCACTGCAACATCTTTAACTCTTTTACTTTTCACTCTGAACTCTGAACCTGGATGTGACTCTTTTGTGAGTGTTATTTATCCCTCCCCGCCCCCATAATAGAACACACACCAACAGAAGTCATGAAGACTGCAGACTGTGTTGACTTGTGGATTTAGCCTGACGTTGGCCAGTAAGAAAATAAAGTATTCTCAGTAAACGTTATGTTTTCATATAGATATTGATACTACTCTTCTTGTGTATGTTCTTTTTGAAATATTAGCCACTGTAACACTGTTAGCTTATTTTATGCTGCAATATCTAGCTAGCCATCTTATTCTCCTCCTAAGTAGCTTACTTACTCAATGATTTCATCTTGCTTCATCTTAAATTTGTTGGCAAGGACCATAGCTATGATAAATGTTTCAGAGATGGTGTCCCAATGAACTATTTATTAAGCTAAGTATGCTAAATTTGCTGTGTGAGTGTTAGTATGATATCTCCTGTAAGACTAAAACTAGCATTATTTTTGTAGAAACTAAAACAGCAGAAACATATAAGACAGTGAATGGTTTATACGCTGCCTGGATCGTTCAAGACTTGTCCAACAGCATGTTGCTACGCTATCTTTATGCAGTTGTGCTATAAAATTATTAACTAAATGTTTTTTGTGTGTGTGTTTTTTACTGTGTCTTTTTGTGTATGAGTGTGCATGCATGAGTAGGAAGAGATCGTCCAATACAGGTTGTCTTGCATGGAGAATATAGACAGTCCAACTCAACACCTATGATGGCTTACGTGAGCTTCCAGGCCTCATTTCCAGACTGATAAGTAATACTGTAATGAAAATGAGAGAGCATACATTGTTTCATATTGCTGTATGTTTTATAAAGTGTTTTAAACGGTTATGTGGTGCACATGTTTTAAAATAAATGTTTTTTAATCAAACATGATCTTTTTGTGAGTGTATTTTTTAAAGTAATTCATTAAAGCAATGTTTACACCTCACAGTGTTAATATGGGGGTAACATTTTAAATAGTTAAAAAGATACTCTGAAAGAGTGACTTTCTAACACTACATTGCAGTGTTGAGCAAAAGTGACACTGGTTAGTGTTACTGGTGTTAACCTTTAACTCCAAGAAGAGTCAATAGTAACACTTAGTGTTAAGGTACCAACTCTCCAAAAAGAGTTAAATTAACACTTTGTGGTGTAGACCCATATAGACACTTTAAAGTGTTAATATTAATTCCTTAATCCTTGTATCATTCTATTATTGTATTTTTTCTCCCTTTATTTAACTGATGTACATATGTTTGATTTTTAACTTCTTGTTATTTTTGATAAATTATATTCCTGTTTCTTGAGCTGTTGTGACAAAAAAATGTCCCCCATGGGGGATCAATAAAGTTTATCTTTATGTTTAACTCTGATAGTTTTAATTTAAGTATGCTGATTTTGCTGTGTACAAAGTTGACCTTGGCTTTAGCTGCAATTGCCTGTGGCCTGCTTGTTGTGTTAGCAGGCTAATGGTAGCACACTTTAGATAGCTCGTAGCTTCAAATTGCACATAAATTGATGTTTAGGTGTAAAATGTCGCACATTCTTCCTTTAAGCACAGATCCACATATTCGGAACAGAGGACAAGTTTTAAATCTATAATTTGTTGGTTTCACCGATTCCCCTTCCCTTAATATTAATCAAGGTTATACATGATAAGGGGTGGCCTTAGTTTGCACGCCCCATGTACTAAATGTGGAAAGAAGGGAGTTCATATCCGACCTGTGGCCGTTTTACCGTATGTCATTCCCCACTCTCTCTATCCACTGCCCTGTCTCTTTAAAAAAGCATAAATGCCGCCCCCCCCTTCCGAAAGTACATCATCTGCTCTGATGTCCTTTTATCCTTTGTAAATCCTTACTCTCCCAATAACCATAATCCAAAGGTCAAAAGTACAGATCATGTCACATTCTTTTTCTTAGATTGTTCCATCTATGAAGTCTTGTCTGCCAAATCCTTTCTGAAAAACAAAACAAAGAAAATTATTATGCATTAATGATCGCATGTGTCAGCTAGTCACTTACACAATGTCATTTTAACTTTATAAGGTACTACTATCCTATCATTGTGTTTGTGGCTTGTTATACTCCCCAAGAGCAAAAAAAAATACTGTTATATTTTTAGATGATCTTACAGAAATTTCAATTTTACATCATAAATCCTGTGGATGAAGAACATCTTTATTATACTTACGTAAATTGACTCCTTTGGTTACTATTGTAACAACAGGTTGGCATTTTGCATCAGACAAATTTAAAATGTTACGTATAATCTGTTGTTAATGCACTGTAGTGTAGTTGTTGAAAATCTGAATCTAAATCTCACAAATGGTTTTTCATATTTTAAAAAAAGAAATAGGAAACAAGATGCAACAAGTAAAAACTCTCCAAAGATGTCCTTTTATGATATGTGTGAGTGCCCCAATGCAGAGAAGTAAAGAAATTCTACAATCTAACTGTTACCAGCTGCAGAAAAAGAACTTGAATTTTAAAGGGGCTATATGTAACTTTTTAAATGTATAAATACTTTTTTATCGCCCATTAATAAGCAAACGGTTAACTGATGTGAAAAAGTAGATGTTCACTGTCTATCTGTGTTAGACTGTCTATCCTGCATAGAGTTTTTCCGTGAAAGCTCCAGGAAGTGACATTTTATGCACATTCTCAATGTCCTCCTCACTCCGCTCCGCTTACAGAGATCAACAGTACAAACTCATCACACACTCCCGGTCTTCACCTGCACAGCCAGAGGCCGTCTTCCACACACTTCTATCAAACTCATCACACACTCCCGGTCTTCACCTGCACAGCTAGAGGCCGTCTTCCACACACTTCTATCAGACACACAGACTCCTTCACAGACTTTCACATGTGTATGACCACTTACCTCCTCTGTAAACATTATGCCGGTAAATATCCAGTGTTTCGCGGCCGATGATGACACTCCTTTGTGTACGTACGAGCACGTATGACGAGCAACAGTTTACTGGTGCAGTTCACCTAACGGCCTGCGGTCTCACTACAAACGCAGTATTTTTGAAAGTTACATATAGCCCCTTTAAGGTCAAAGCATTCCGAGTTAAGGCATGGCCAGAGACTGAAAAGATGCAGGTGTTCACTACAGAGTGTGGGAGGAAGTGGACTAATCAGGAAAGAATGGTGTTCAAACGGGATAAAACCCAAATACTCTGCTGTTCATATAATCTCCAGGGTCATGTGTTCACCCAAACACAGCGACAAAACTACCGTGTTGACAGTAAAATGTTGTTTTAGGTTCTGTGTCTCTTATTATTTTGATGCAGCTAAGAATATCTGGAGATTATGTGTCTTGGTATGAGCAGCTGTTGGTCTTACCAGTTTGTAGTTTTTGTGCAGTTTGTTATACTGGAACATGTTGCAGAGGACAGTTGAGGCTGCCCTGGCAGCATTTAGACTCCCATAGCTATATCAAAACACAGCAATGGACATTTAGAGGCAAAGACGACATTTTAGGAGGATATAAAACAGAAATGCAAGAAAAAGAGCATAATGAAAATGTGTTATAGAAATGAAACAGGTTTCACTGATATAACATTAAATCTTTGGAGAGCAGCTCTACCTTACCTATACTGATATTTGAAGTTTGCCCTGGAAGTCAGTCCTACCTGGTATCATGTGATGTCTTGATGCCCACCAGTTTTGGCAGGCCATTGAAGTACGAGATTTCATGGGCTGCCAATGAACTGCAGGTGACGAGGTGATTGAGGGCTCCACAGATGTTAATCACCACCTCACTGGATGGCTCTTTTTGAAATCCATCACTGGGCAGCTTGGAAACAAGCATGTTGACCATGTTCTTAGCTGCAAAGACAAAGAAAGAGGGTTACCTTTCAGACATGTTTTGAGATGAATTGCAGTAATTTCAGCCTTTGAAAGGTTTCCAAACAATCAATTGTTAAACAGTTTAGGGTCTGCTTTGTCTTATTTTTCACGTCATTTACTATGGAGCCATGCAGTTGCAATACGTGCAGAATTGAGTAGCTGAAATAAGACCTGAAAAACAAGATGTCTATAACGGCAGCTTATGTTGCCCCTTGTAACAAAGAGGTACTTTGTTATTAGTCAGGCACGGCTTTAAAGGCTGTGGACACTTTATTTTTGCACCTTTGCACTTGAAAACATGTATTTGCACAGTAAGAAGCAGACATTTGCACAAGTTAGCCTGATTTCTTATCAATTGTTTATTAATTGGTTGAGTGTTTGTGTGTGTCCTCCAGGTGCTTCGCATCTGATAGACAGCTGCCTGCAAAACAGAGATGACGTTACCCGCAGAAAATTAATTGATTGCTGTCTGGTTAAGTAGTCAGGTGTCTCTGTGCAATATATTATTAGTGCAAAAAACGTGTGTGTTTATAACAATATAAGTGTTGGTTCCTAGTTTAAGCGCTCACTTACCTGTATCTCTTGGGTACGTCCGAATTGTCATTTTTGGTTAGGAAGGTTCCTAACTGAGTGAAATGACCCGGAAGCATTTAAGTGGCGGCCATGATAAATTCTCTAAAAGTTAAGGAAAGGTGGGTCATTGCTTCCTTTATAACCTCCTTTAGCATAGGATACACTGGACCATCCTTTACAAAAGGAGATGAGACAATGCTGCCCCACGAAAATTAACGATGACCATAAAGGGACACAGATCATGTAAGGGATGAAGGGATAAGAGACAATTTTATCCAGATGATGTTTTATTCAACATATTTCATTCAGTCAAGAATGCTTTGTGCAGTTGTACATTTGTATACTTAAAACATTCTGTATATGTATATCTTACATAAATGTAACAATTAAAATGTCCAGTGTATCCTATGCTAAAGGAGGTTATAAAGGAAGCATTGACCCACCTTTCCTTTGCTTCTAGAGAATTCAAACGGCTCTTAAATGCTTAGGGGTGCGTCCGAATTGTCATTTTTGTTTAGGAAGGTTCCTAACTGAGTGAAATGAAGCGTTTAGGTTGAAAAGGATTTGCAAATAATGGTATTCTGTTATTATTTACGTTTTACACAACATCCCAGGTTCATTAAAACTGGGGTTTGTATATATATATATATATATATATATGTATATGTCATGCCATTTAGGAAATTACAAAATATATATAACATCTATGATGTCTGAATATATTGAATGGAAGTCTGAATATATTAAATGAAACTTTGAATATATTAATTGCAAGTTTGAATATATTGAAGCTAGTCTAAATATACTGAATGAAAGTATGAATATATTGACTGGAAGCCGATTTCAATTTTTTCTATCTACCAGTTTCATTGTTGTCATTAAAATGATACCCTGCTGAATATGCTTCGTTTTTTTAAAATTAAATAAGAGGAAATATACCAATACTTTGTTGAACTTCAAAACAGTTGTTTGTACTCAAACTAATATGAATAATTTGGAATGTAGATTCCGTCACCTTGAAGATCATAGGTCAATTATTGGAACATTTTCACTGCTTATAAGTAGTAATGTTCAACAAAACATTGCTGAGTACTTTGTGCATCATTCTAGAGGGAATTTTTGAGTCTCTTATGGAGATGTCAGCTGAACAAACATTACAGACTTCCATTCAATATATTCAGCCTTCCATTCAATATATTCAAAGTTTCATTCAATATATTAAGACTTTCGTTCAAAATATTCGTACATCACGGTTGTAACATATATATATTTTAATTTCCTATATGGCATGCCATGATATATATATATATATATATATATATATATATATAAATTATTGAACATGATTGCAATTAGTGCCAAGTGGAATCATGTGTAGCTGTATGAGTTAGTAACTATGGGCTATTTTGTTAGATCTCTCCCACAACAATTACAATGAAACAAAAAGTGGTTCCTCAACAAAACCCAACAGAGCTTGGAGACCTCAATGTAGGACTATGACAAAGTAATACAGAAGTCAGAGAGAACCGTAGAGGGGCTGTCAACTTATAAATAAGGAAAGAGCTTGACTATAAATGTTTTATAAACAACATCTTCAGCATTCTTAATTTGCATCATACCTATGTCTTTGTCAGAGTAGTGTTTGGCCAGATTTCTTAGAAGGCCAGTCAGAGACCTCAGTTCAGTTTCACTGTGGGTGTCCAACAGATCTAGCAGGAGGGGCAGCATCCTCTCCTGGTCCATTATCACACAGCTCAGCACTGATGACCACTGGCAAAGAAGGGAATAGATTCAATGAGTCAATTTACCATTTACCAGGAATACTACTGCAAAATGCACACAGCTTTTTTTTATATTTGTATGGCCTGTGAGCTCTTACCCGGGTCTCTCCTGCAGTGACATTTTGCAGGGCTCCTATGGCAGCCTCGCGGATGGCTGAATTACTGTTGCTGTTTAGCAGGATAAACTTGTAAAGAACCACTACCTTAGGATGCCACAGCCACTCAGACCCCTTTGGCTGTTGAGACACTTCAGACATGATGAAGGGACTCTGATTAAGCTGGTCATGTTGTGAAGGAGAGAGAAAATTACATGTTGAGTTGATTATATTGAATTAAATACATTCACTTACATAGCTCTTTCTTTTTTCACTCTTCAACACTAAATGTCAAATTCACCCTTTTAAACACGTTCATTACACCGATTCACTGATGGTGGTTCCATCCATCACTATTATTATTTAATACATTTATACACCAAATGCTATGCCTCCGGGGCAAGTTGGGGTACTCCACTGAGTCACAGACCCCCTTATTTATCTCAGTCTCTCAACCAGAAGGTTTGGCGATCCCCGCTCCAGGAGTTATATGTCAAAGTGGTCACTGAACCCCTCATTTCTTCCGCTGCACAGCCAGTGGCAAGTGAATGTGTGTGAACGAAACAGTGCTGTTGGGCATTTTGGCCCTATAAAGCCTCTGTCATCAGTATGAATTGATGAATGTGACATGTAATATTCAAGTGGTCGAAAGACTAGAACAGGGCTATTTTACCATTTATTTACAAGGACAGTTTCCTCTAACCGATGGATCTAGATTATACAAACTGTTAATAAAACCAATCCTAGGAGCGGGAACTTCATGGTTCAATAAAAATAAACACAAATATTGGATTTATTCTGTAGGCTATCTTTACAGAGCAGAAATCTTCAATTAAGTTCAACAAGGTCCTGTCGGAGACATTCCCCAAGCAGGTCTACTGATTTTAAACTGGTACCAATGAACATATAAGAGTGGACCATTTAGTAGAAAAAAGGTTTAATTCGCTTCTTTTCTAATTTTAGAGTAGACCACACCGTATAGCCTGGACTTCTTCTGGGTTTCTCATATCTGCTGCTAATGATATTGATTATGACGATGACGATTTTTGATGAATACGATGATGACTGTTTTTGTTTGATAATGACAATGACATTATTGAGGACAGTTTTGATGCTGATTAGAACTCTCAAGAACAGCTGTTAATGTTGTGCTTTGCCTCAGTGCACTGCCTGTCAGCACCTGTGTCCGGTCCAAATGAAAGCTATTAGTTTCCTTTTACTGACATTGTTTCCTCCTTTCTAGATCCTTGCTTGTGTGTAAGTGAATCATAGAATTGCTGAAATCGCTTCTGTAGAGGCAAGATAAGCTGGGCTGTTTAAAATAGACTTTTGTGAAGGAATAAGTAATCTAGCAGAAGTTAGTCTCCTATGAGCTCTGTTTTGAGCTTTTCTCCTTGAGATAAATAACTACCTCTCTAGCTGCTTTAACTATAATGTTTTCTGTCTGTTCTTCTGTGCTGGGCAGAATAGGTACATTGTAACAAGCTGAAACCAGCTGTTTGCTGTTGATGAACAAAAGAGTCAAAAGTATATGGCAGTTGTGGGTTAGGTTGCTGGCTGCTAAATTGAAAGAGGATTAAACTCTGAAAAAAGGATTTAGATCTCCAAAATCTTATTTGTTGTTACTTGTTGTCATTACATACAAGTTAATGATAGTGATTACATTTACCTTTGTGTTTTTTTTGCTATACACAGTAAAGCAGCCTATGGCCTCACTGTCCCTGGAGGCCGCCTTGCGACCTTCAAGGCGGAGTCGGACAGATGAGGGAATTTCCACGTACAACTGGTAGGACAGATTCCTCATCACACATAATGAATTCTCCAAACCCTAAACACAGAAAAAGACAGAACAAGTTGACAAGTAGACAGTTAAACTGAAAGCATTTATAAATAGCTAACTAAGAAGGATGCTGAAACAACTGAATGACTAAGACCTTTAAGTGTTTAATATCTCTTTCATATAAGGGAAAGACGTAAACTCAATCCCTGAAGTAGTAATATAAAATAGGATCTCAAAGCTCCCCTGAAAGCAACAACAAATACAGCCAAGTTACCTTGTCATCTTAGTAAAGCTGATGACAATGATCAATTCACTCTACACATGATTGATTAATAGTATTTTATCTATGTGGCATTCACACAAAGTGCCCAACCCTCAGGGACACCAGAAAAACATTATTAAACAACATATTAAACAAATCAAGTCATTACTAGTAATTGTAAAGGTGCAAGATCCTTTTACATTTCTGTCACACAACAAACAAACTCTGTCCTCCTCTGGAGAGGCATTAAACCTGCCGGTCTGTAAAGTTAATGCTTATGATCCTGAATATGAATTTATATGCACAGAGAGATCTACAGTATGTCTTTTGATTAAATTATCTCGACACTGGAACTATTTTTAGGAGGCAATAAGTAGTTGTAGTTTTGGTTAACGGAATATATCGATGGAACCATTTTCCTCTTAATCTCCTGAATATCACAGAGTTTTCTGTTGTGATATGTGAGTGACATATTATTCAAATAAGAAACAGATTTGAACTCTTTGGCCCAGAGGTAAAAACCCCTGAAGTTGAGTGGTATGCTTGGAAAAATGTTTAATTATGGTCTTGTGTCACTGTGTTGGGAAAATGCCGTAACCAAAACAAGAAATAAATCATGTATGCTACACAACTTCATCAACACTTCATCTGAATTTTTGTCAATTCTAGGATATTTTTTCAGTTTGCATTGATACATCACTTTTCTTCATGTTTGAAAAACTATTACCATTATTTTCTTCATCTTTATTTCAGATTATATTACCCTCTTGAGCTAATCATTTCCTTCAAATCTGATATGTGCTTCCTTAAATTCTATGCTCAGTCAGATTTATTTTCTTTCATCTTTTAAAGTGTTTCTCTGCTGTTCATACTAACTGCAATTCTTGATTTCAATAGGGTTTGGAATAATTTCTAAATTCATTATGCCTATTAAGATTCCTTTGTGCATTTATAAAATTATTTCCAACCACTGCCCAGCATATATCATAACAATTTTCCAAATCCTGTTGATTGTTAATACATCCCATTGCTGAATAACGCCCCGGAATCTGTTGCCACATTGGCTAGATGAGAAAAACGAGTCAGGGAGTTGCCTTTGCCTTACAATTTTGAATTGTTAGGTTATTTTCAACTATCAGCCAGTCAAGAAAGTTCTCTTATTCTAATCTCTCAAGTCGATCATTTTGGGCAAAAACACAAAACACACAATTATTTAAGCCTTCAATATTTCCTCATAGCTATTAACAGTGCTGTCCAAATTAATTATTTCATGAACGTTTTTTTACATCACTTATAAAGATAACCATTATGGTAATATATATATTTTTTTATTTGTTTGTTTATTTTGACAGGGACAGTGCACAGTCAATTAGCTGTACCAGAGTTAGCTATAAGCTAATTTACATCTGTAGTCCCTGGGCAGGAGACAGAGACAATGTCTCTGTGAAGAAACAAAACATACACTAACAACATCATCACAACAGTAAGACCGTACACAACCACTGAACAATGACATTACACTAGTCCACAGTGAAATTCACACATTATATAAAACCAATAATAGGCTAAGAGCACTTGACTTTAAAAATTACACTAAAAAAACAGCTATACCACAACATATATCTCCAATACACCACAACAACAAAGCCATAATAACATACTGTATCAATACGTTACAACATTATCAAACATAGTTCATGAAAATGTGTTTATGTGTGATGAGGACATGATTGAGTTGATTTGAGCCATGATTTGATTTTACATTTAAATTCAGCAAAGCTACGGCACTCTCTGATTTTAGCGGAGTCTCGGATTTTCGGATTTTCTGGAGTTCCAAAAGTGTGTAGCTCTAATAGAGACGGCTGATTTGCCAAACTCAGAGGATCTGTGCTGTATAACACAATCCCCTCTGTTGTTCTTCCTCCATCTGCACGCGGTGATATGAAATATTTTAGTGGGGAAGGAGCCAGACCATTAATAACTTTATACACTAGACAAGCATCAGCAAGACCCACAACATTGTCAAAGGTTAGGAGGTTATACCTCTGAATGATGTTACAGTAGTGGTAACTTGTTGGCTTTTTGTCCAGTGCCTTGAGTATTTGCTTGTACAGGGTTTGGAGAGGGGCGAGTGTTGTTTCACCTGCTTGCGACCAGCTTGTGATACAATATGACATGTGTGAGAAAATCATTGAGTGCACATATAGCTTTGCTGCATTAATGGGTAACTGGTTTCAGATAAACCTGAAGTTCCTTAGGTTAAATTTTATAGTGTTACACAGTTGTTTCACATGTTTCTTAAAAGACTGTCTGTATCCTTTCACCGTTTACACTGATATCTGGTTGAAATCCATTATTCCTTATATAAAAATACATGCAAGCTGTTTTGCTCACATTAAGTGTGAGGCAAGATTCTGTGATTCTGGAAATACTATTGCAATGGAATCCACATAAAACAGATTAAACATCTGGGTCGTTAGCTTTATCAAAAAGGAAAGTTTAAAGTCTATTCCTAAAAGTACAGGTGCCTCCCAGACCCTGAATGGTGTGATTCCAAAGGAGAGGGGCCTGATGACTGAAGGCTCAACCTCCAATTGTACACTATGGGCCTGATTTACTAAAGGTTTGCGTGTCTTAAAATGTGTGCAAACTTGATACCACCCATAAAAGAAGTGCTATCTGATCTACTAACAGCGCGCAGTGAGGACTGAATCTTTCATATGAGCAAAACAACACGCATTGACCATTTAGTATGTTTGACTTAATGAATATTCAATATGGGGCGTTTCTGCCCTAGGGTACAAAATACTGGGAGGAGAAAATGCAAACAAGTTAAGTTAGTACACGCATTGTGATTTACCAAGAATAATAAAAACTGCGGTGATGGTGTCTGAATTTAACACCTTTGAAAAGAACGTGCTAACCCAGGAGACCAGTGTTACACACAACAGACTGCTGTTATTGAAGTTAGGAGGAGACATAAGCGCAACAAAAGAAGACATACAGATCACTTTATTCCCCACACATGTTAATATGTTTGGAATGACAGCAGGAAACACCATGATTAAACTATATTGTTGCCTATTTAAACAAAACTGAACATTCACAGCCTCTGCATTCTAAAGAATTTCAACATTGACGTTTATTTCTTCCTATTTCCCTCTTTTCACCAACATTATATTTTAAACTGGGATTTCCTTTTTCTCGGGTTGCGCCTCTCTCCCCCAGCTCGCCCCCTCTGGTGCGCTCCTCTCCATAACGCGCTCGTCTCCTCCCTCTAAAGCTGCTGCTACTCTGTAGGACGCTTTGATTGGGGGACCTCACCACTGTTTGTACCCCCGTCTTCGATACCTCTCTCCATAGCATTTCTGTCTGATCAGATACAGCGCTGGCCAGCTGTCTGCTGCACAACAACGGCAAGAGTGTCGCGTCATATCCATTATTGACAGTATGTAAAGATGTAACACATTGTGGCAGTGCAGGGCAGAGTTACCTTGTCATCGACTGTCTCCTCTTGTTTGATGTAGGACACCAATGAGTCCACCAGGCCTGGCATATCCCTCATCGTCCGTCTTGTTCTTTCATTCACAGAGCTTAAGTTCCTATATACAATAAACGTATAGAGATATTGCAAACAGGCTAAGCTTTTGATAATCAATACAACACAGGTGTCTGTTTGAAATGATAAACACATTTTATAAACTTTATGTCGATTTCTTGAACCCATTTATTTGCCTCCTAACCATATTGAACAATAAAGCATTTTGGAGTTTACTACACTTGCATGTGCTTCAGTCCATCTGAAACTAAAATAAAGAATTAGAATATGATCAAGAAAAAAGTATGTACTGTACTAACAGAGCAGCACTTTAAATTGTATATTTAATTAAAGTTGCATTTTGTGAAGTCAGCTTAAATAAATAATCAAATTATACCTTTAAGTGTCAAGTATAAATAAAGAAGGTGTTCCATAAATGACAGTGGTTTTCTATTAACAGTAGAGGTAACCATTTTTATGGCTGGTATCTCTTACTCTTGTTCAGGCTTGTATCTCCAAACCAATGCCAGTTACAGTTAATGACTGTGATTATAAATTTAATTTTATCCAGAAGACTCAAAGTGTAACAGAGAGGCTATAGTTGGAAGCAATTTAAAAAAAAAACTGTAGAAATAAAAAAAAGTTAAATAATGATTTTTTGTGTCCTTTATAATCCTGTGTGTATATGCCATATCACCTGGAATTATACAACCCCTATTTACTAAAAGATACCATGCTTGAGATGTATTGGTCTTTTTAAAGTAAGTTGTTAGATTGATCTGTGTAAACAGGTAAAGTAGGTCTTGCAAAATATAAATCAAATGTTTTGATGTGGATTTGTCTGAGGGCATAGTTTTATAACCCTCTCTTATATTTCTTACAGTTGATTCAGTCTGAGATCTCAGAATAGTCTAAATATTCAGTCTCAGCAAATAATTAAAGGTAGAAAATGGTACTAGAAATGTCCATTGCAGCTTGTAAACATAACATTCAAACTGGGCTGCTCCTCCTGGGTATAGCACCACCATACTTACCATAAGTGCACACTCACTGCAGGGTTAGCGTGTACATTTACTGCATAACCTACATTGCAAGCTACCGCACACCAGCACAAGCAAACCACCAGTGTTTGGCTCCTGGGTTAAGGGCATCACCTGAGGCAGCCTGTCGTGTTGTTGAATATCTCTCTCTCAGATGTGCTTAACGGCATGCTGCTGCACAGAGGAATCAGTACTTTTTCTGTAAGCTCTGTTAAAGCCTCATTGGACAGCTTCTCCTTCAGATTATCTCTTGAGGACAGATTCCACAGTACACCTGCAGCCACAATGAAATTGTATTTTGTTATCCTGATATGTCAGTTGTTTCATCAAGTAAACCATAGAAAAATATAAATCAGTGATTATAACTGGATGATGTTGCTCAATTACAACCTGGTACATATGCTTGCTTGGAAATTTACATATTGAAAGGGCTGTTTGCACAGCTATTACCTGTAATGGTCTTTCGTAATTCCTCATCAGGTTTATTCAGGATGCTTACAAGACACATCACGCCACCTGCATTGACAAGTGCTGACTTGTTGTCAGTGTTCTCGAAGATTAGGTTTCGCATGGCACCAGTGGCAAAACGCTGCACTTCTTGGTTGTCACTAGAGAATAGCTGAACAAGAGCTGGAACACCATGAAGAGCATGGACCTGGGAGAGAGAGACATGTCTAGATGAAAATACACAGTTGGTGTAAATAAAAAACAGGCCTAGTAAAAAAAATAGAACTAATGGAAAATCAGATAGATAAATAAATAGATGAATACAGCAATATAAGAGACCTGTGACCAAACACAAAACATTTTCAGCTGTTGTTACCTGGTTTTTGGCAATGTTGCTATGGTAACATTGGTGTTGTATGTATGCAGCTCCAAGAACTTGCAAAGCAGCATCTTCCTCAGAGAGATATCTGACAGCTGTAGCCATGTCCAGAACCTGCATTCTGCACACATGCATACACATAATAATATGTGTAAATAGATGTAAATATAATAGGTGCTGTGACCAACAGTGAATGTTAAAGCTATTATCACAGTAGTGCTGAAACCAAGCACTTTTTATGTGAAGTAACAATTCATCCTCCTCTCACTTTTCTTCTGCAAAAGATTTCCGTGTCAAAAAATTCTCATAGAGCAAAATACACTCCACAAATAAGCAAGAAAAATAAATCAATATTATGTCTCACTCTTCAAGTGCGTCGTTGCTGTGAACCGATGCCCCATCCGAAATATCCAATACTTTCCCAGCACTCTTTAGACTATGGAGTGAAGCAGCCCTGTGTAGGTTCAGGTTGGCTTGGTACTGCCCTGTCCCAATGACATGGTTGTCCCTGTACACATCCTGCTGCCCCTGTGTCCCCCAGCCTTCACCAGCCATGGTGACCCCCCGGCCAGACCCAACCCAGCCCTCATGGCCAGTGGCAGAGCTTTGCTGATGGTAGTGCTGCTGTCGGTTGGTAATACGGCTGATGGTACGATGTGAAGGGCCTTTGTAGATGTACTGACTTGGAGGCTCTTCTTTGCTTAGTGTCCCACTGAGGCAACGCCGAAGGGTGCCAGGAGAATTTGCAGTGATCGGGAAGTAGACTTTCTCTGGAGGAACCAACAAAGTAAGAGGAAGTGCCCTCTGATCTGTCTGACACAGCGATTTAGAGCGTCTGTTACGGCTGTGTGACTGGTAATTCTGGATGCTGCATTGGATTGCGCTGGAATCTTTTTTTCTTTCATTAGAACTCATTTCCACAGCAGAGCAAGAAGAAGCTGAAGTGCACAGGCTTACTGTGGGAACCTGCAAGGTCGTTGGAAAAGCGAGAAACTGTTAACAGAAACTAAGCACAATGAAAAATAAATACCTTTTCAAAAAAACTGATTTGACAAGAAGTGGTAAAAAAACAGAATTGTAATTAATAGTGACCTAGGGCTTGCCAACATCAACCACTAGTGGTCCAACTGATTACAGTATGGATGACCCCACTATTTGGCATGCATGCATCGCAGATTGATATAATGTATGGTCATAGATGTTAAATAGATTACTGTGCCTTAATCCTTGTTTACTGCCCCTTAATCCTTGATTACTGCCCCTTAATCCTTGGTTACTGCCCCTTGATCCTTGGTTACTGCCCCTTAATCCTTGATTACTGCCCCTTAATCCTTGGTTACTGCCCCTTAATCCTTGTTTACTGCCCCTTGATCCTTGGTTACTGCCCCTTAATCCTTGATTACTGCCCCTTAATCCTTGTTTACTGCCCCTTGATCCTTGGTTACTGCCCCTTAATCCTTGATTACTGCCCCTTAATCCTTGTTTACTGCCCCTTGATCCTTGGTTACTGCCCCTTAATCCTTGATTACTGCCCCTTAATCCTTGTTTACTGCCCCTTGATCCTTGGTTACTGCCCCTTAATCCTTGATTACTGCCCCTTAATCCTTGTTTACTGCCTCTTGATCCTTGGTTACTGCCCCTTGTACAGAGAGCTGTGCTTTACTCAGAGGTCTTATGATTACAAGTTGGAACACAATGAGAAAACATTTAATCAGCAGCTCCTGCAAAATGGGTAGTGAAGTTATTGTAAGGTTGGAAATTTGATGGTCATCACTCCTGCCCAACCTGAAACTAACTTCACCACAATGCTAAATTTGAAGTGATAGCACTCTACTTTACAAATGATCCAATATTTTTAAAACAAGTTTTTTTTGACTTTTCACACAGAAATGAAATCTCAAGTGTTGATATGTAAAAATATTTAGTTTCACTTTGTCTTTATAACCTTGCAGCTATCATCTGGAGGTTGCGTGTGACAACAATCAGTAGCTTTTCATAAATGATTATCTCCCAACTTGCTGTAGTTTTTATATACACTTAACCAATCAACACAAACTCCATTATACAGCACAGTGCTGGGCCCAAAAACATGACTAACACTAACTACTCACACATGGGCTAAATGAACAGTGTGCAAATACTATTTATTACGGCTATATCAGTCTTTGCAGGTCGTCAAAAAAGAGTGCCGCGAGGGACTAAACACGGGAGTGAAGCTGTGGCACGCTGCCGTTATGAATGACTTACAAATCCAAGATGCTTTAGTCATTTATTTACACTACTTGTTTGACATTACTAAATTCATAATGTAACAGATAATGGCATTGACATTATGAAGCTTTTAATATGTACTCCAAAAAAATGTATTGGAATTATAGCAATGTATCTAATAGTAAATATTTGTTTCTGAGAAAGACAAAATATTTTATCATGACAAATTGAAGGGATTCACTTCTTTTTTTAAATGCAGTTGGAATTTTTTTTTCTTGAGTTGGTCCACTACAGACACATGCCTCTTTCCAATCCATCCTAAAGTCTGGAAAAGTTTTTAAAATGTGAATTTGTCTCAGTGACTTGTTGACTGAATCCTAACAGGATGAACTCACCCCTTCTTGTCTCTAATCAAACCACTAATCCAAATATTTCATCCCCTTTGCCATCAGGCTGTTAAACCTTTATAGTAGTAACTCTGAATAAAAACATCATTGTATTGTTTTCCTTATCATATCCCTTGATCTTGTGTTTAACCATATAGTGATTAATTCCTGTGACTCCTGCGTCCTGTACATAGATTCCTTAAATGTCTTGGTTATTTATTATGTGTTTAATGACATATTTATTTATTACTGTTGTCCTTAAATTGTGCTTTTCATCTTGCATGGCCCTTATATGTGTCATTACCCACAGAGACCACATGAGGGGGTCAGCGTGCCAGCACTCATCTGCCGTTTCTGAAAGAAGGTTGAACAAACCCTCAGTCTAACCCTGAGCTCTGAGTTGATTTACTCTCAGGTGGGAAACTCTGAGTTTCTGGTTCCAGATCAGCAGATTTGAATTTTTTAAATTAACTCTGAGAAGGTCCACTCGGTGTTCAGGGTGTGCACCACGACGATAAAAAGCCAACATGAATGGAGCCCCGATTCTACGATTCACCATGGCAACAGGTGACAAAAAAGAGATCCTCCTATTTTAACCATCTCGAAATATAGTATTTCTTCAAGCAGACACACGGAGAATATGAACAGGTTTTAAGAAGGAAAAAAAGGAACACTGCTGCAGAGGAGAGAGAAGTGATGTAAGAGAAAGCAGCTGTTCGCGTTGGCGTGTAATGAAGTCTATTCATTTAATATTTAATCTGAATTATTATAGGCCTATTGCAGGTCAAATCTGGTGGAATGGGTTATATAGGCTATTAAACCTACAATTTATTTTCATTAAGATCCAGCAGAAGAAAGGAGACTTTTAAACAGCTCAAAATGAAATATAAGAACATAATAGGCTCATGTAGATTTAAAGTTAACTTCATTCAGAGTCTATTTGAATGTGCATTAACTTTATCCTCAACATAAAGCTGTATCGACACAGATAGGTTAAATGTCCTTTCACCTTTAAATAAACATTTAATGTAGACTCTAATTCTCTGTGGAGTAATGCAGCTCCTGAAACAGGTCCCTGATTGATCTGTTGTCTCTGACATTCTTCATCTATTGTTTGTTTGTAAATATATGAATGGTCTGGGCGGACTGTGACATCGAATTGCTTCTGGGTTAAATCAAGTTTTTTAAGTCTAAGTCCAAGTCTAAGGGTGTATTCACACCAGGAAAGTCCTTTAGTTCACTTTCTTTGGTCCGGACCAAATACAGTGGTTCTTTTTTTGGTTTGGTGCGGTTCGTTTTCACATCCTAGCACTTTTCATAAGAGGCCCAGAATTTGTAAACAAAACCACGTGTGCAAAGATCGTTCAATCATTGGACAAAAAGGTCTGGGGCGGGGTAAAGCGGTGATCGCAAAGTAAAAGTAAACAATCACAGACATCTTGCGTGCTGCACTTGTTGTATTGATATTGATGGTATTGATTTGGTTCATACAATTACAAATGTTTGTAGAACAGCAGCAAGAGCGTTTGATACAACGTTGATTTTATGATGCAATGAAATTTGGTCTTCTGCCCAAATATCCAGGAGACAGTGCGCTCCATGTTGAACCTTGACCAATTTTTAGCAAACGACAACACTGTTTGTTTGGTTTGGGGTGGTGTGAATGCTCAAATGAACCCTGGTGCGGACCAAGGAACTGAACTCTGGTTCGCTTAAAAACGGGGACGAATATTTCGGCAATTCCAGCACTTAATTCTTTCCCCAATTTCTGACTTGTTGTTCCGATTTGGGCAGGCGTTTCTGTACATTTTCCAACTCGGAAACTCGTTTTTTAGATGTGTCCGACACCACATGAATGCAACTGCAGCCACAACTAGTGGCGTGTTACGGTGGCCGGTAGGGCTTAAACGCTCAGCAACATATATAGAAACGCTGCACATTCAAAAGCAAATGCAAACTACCACAACAAATGCAAAGGCTGAAACGCGCTGCAAAGAAACAAACGCGCTGCAAAGAAACAAACGCGCTGCAAAGAAACAAACGCGCTGCAAAGAAACAAACGCGCTGCAAAGAAACAAACACGCTGCAAAGAAACAAACACGCTGCAAATTGCAGCGTTTCTGTGTTTGCAACCGTTTTTAAGTAGCGTGTGGCTATGGTATACAGAATTTGAAATTTGCTTTGGTGCGCTTGACAGAGTACAGTCTGAAAGCAAACCGAACCAAATTAAAAGTCCACCGATCTTTAGGCTATATGTGAAAGTGACCTTAGCCTCACTGACTAAGGTGATTTATGGCTAGAATTATTATTTTCCTCATTTTTTATCGACTAATTATCATTATGTTTTCATAGTATGTCCGCACTTAATCATACACGAGTGAGATTTAAGGAACCTTTCTTTCAATTATCTGCACTGGACAGCGCTTTAAAAGGTTGTCTAAAATGTATAACACAGTAATGTAGTGCTGGGAGGAGTTACTTACAGCCTTGACTTTGCTGGGTGTGTGTATCATGGATCTGGAACTGAAACCGTGGGTATGGTTCAAACTCCTTACATCAGGACTGCAGTAGTCTAGGCAAAAAGAAGACAGAAAATGAATGATACATTTTAATTTACCAAGTATTCACCATAGAAAAGTACAATGTTACCAGATGTTATAATGTACAACGGAGTATAAGGGCCACGTTAAAGAAAAAAAAATCTAAAATTTCGGGATTCAATTCATAAATTTACGAGTATAAAGTCGTAAAGAGGAGACCTCTTAAAGTCGTTTTACGAGAAGAAAGTCATACATTTATGAGATTAATGTCGTTATTTTAGTCTATATCTTAAGGGTCATAGGCTACCCTAGGCATTTTCGAGCCTAGGCTTGAAAATGACAAATGTGGAGCCTACTTTAGTAAAGGTTTCACTAATAAGGAAATAGGCTACTTCCTTGTGTAGTCGGTAAAAACAGTTCAAGAGAAGTTTTCACTTCAACTTGGAAGACCTTGTTTATCTGTAAAATGATGAACAGGACACAAACGGTCTCTGCACATGAGACACTTTAACAAGGCAGACCGATAACAGACACAAATAGTTGTGTTGGGGCTTTACTTATGCAGATATGGAACTACACATGCTTTTGGCACATCATCATCTTCACATTGTCATAAAATATCAGCACCCTGAAAAGATACTGCAAGAAACTGAAGAAAGAACCACACTGACTGGGAGGAAGTTGTCTGCAGAGGAAAATACCATAACAGTTCCATCATTTTCGCGCAGGCTGGTCTCGAGTGTAAAGTTGTAAATTTAAGATTTTAGTCTCAAAATCTTAGAGTTTTTTTTAGAGTTTCTTTTAGAGACAAAGGGTAGGGCATTGGTGGAAATAAGATCTTAGTTCAAAAAAGGTGCACTACTTTTGTGTCCGTACAGGTATAAGTGTCTGTGTGTGTGAGACTGAAGCAGTTACAGATATAAAAAAATGTTTAACGCTTGATTGATAATAGATATACACAAAATTATCTGAATCAATAATCACAATTTTAAGAAAATGTTTAAATAGAGCTCGGAGTAAGTTCAAGAAGAAAGACTGTTTTATATTCATTCATACATGAATTCCTTAGTCAACATTAATTCATATCACTCTTCCTCTGTCTTCCTGCTCAGGTGATCAGCACTTAGTGGCATTTACTCTTATTCAACCAGCTTCACAACCACTATCAACCAATCATCCTGCTGCTGTCATATTTTTAAAAATCTGTTCTCCTCTCTTTCATTGTCAATTTGTAGGTTTAGTTTGAGTGCTGTGACCCTTCTCCACCCTAGTCACCTCCATTCCATCTCAATATTGAATAATCATTCACTCTTAATGAAGTCTCTCTTATTGCTTTTAGTATAGGCATTTTATTGTCATTGTATAAAAGAACACAACAAACCCTTGTTGGCAGCAATCCTGTACAGCAGGCAGTGACTGAATTAATAAATAAACTGTTATAGTGCAGTGAATGAATGAATACATTAAAAGTTAAAGGCCAGGGACAGATGCAGTGACTTGATAAATATACAGATATAGAGCAGTGACTGAAAAAAATAAATAAACAGTTATAAAGCAGTGAATGTAAAAGTTATTGCAAAAAGAAGTACCTAACACTTAGCATCAGTAAAGTCTTGATCACAACAATGTGAAATGCTAAAAACTAGCATGTTAACCTAAGGTGAAAAATGCAAAGGAAAAGGTACTGAATGTGTCCCAACCAGTTCAGACCAGAAGCCTGATTAAAATTGACGACTATAACCACATAAACACTCACATAGAGAAAAATACATTAGTGATCTGCTATGAGCTGAACAAAGAGAAAAGGAGGGAGCATTGCCTCAAGTTCTTTGCATTTTAGAAAATCATCACAGCCACTCAGTCAAACAGGAAGGAAGGGAGGGAGGAAGAAGGAATGTTAGGCCACAACAGTGTGGGAGGCCACAAAAATTACGGGTACAGGCAAAGCATAAAACAGACATTAAATGCAACCAAAATTGCATTGCAAGAATCAGATGAATTATCAATACTTTTCAAACCAAAAAGAAAGTTTTACAGGCATTTGATCAAGATTGTGAGGGGCAGATCAACAAAGCAAGAATAGAGTTAAAAACACTGTAATCAGTACAGTCAGAGCAGGTTTGTAATGCTGCTGCTCGTCACAGACACATAGACAACCTAAAGTATGTTAGCTGTTGTGATGATGTTTATGTTGCAGTTAAGAAGCAGGCCAAGAGAGGAGGGCACAAAGCAATCAGGCCAGAACCATGTCAGCCCGTTTGCTCAGGAAACAGGCAGAACATATTGCTGCAGACACATCATCCATTCACAAACAATAACACTAGTTATAGTCATAAACTGTCATGAAGAAATATATGCTAATCACCCCAGGTATATAAAAGAAATTTCCACAGAACATGCTGCTTCAAAGTCTATCATACATTTATTAAAAACAAAGCCAAATCAGAATCAGAAATACTTTATTAATCCCAGAGGGAAATTCGATCGTTACAGTTGCTCCAAAATATACAGTATAGCAGTAGAAACATAGTAATAAAAATATTAATCAAATAGAATAGGAATGTAAATAAGATATCAAGAATAGGTACAAGAAATATTTACAGGAATAAGAGTCAGATGGAATATATATAAACATTTTCAAGATTATTGCACTGTTTGTTTCAATATTGCACTTTGTTATCATGGACATATTATTCACTATTATTATATTGCTGTTTTAATAAATATTGAGTTATGTTTTTTTTTAATAAACACTAACTACTTTTTAATAACATTTTAATGAGTGTTGAAGATAGCTTATGTAGTAAGATTAATGCCCTTGACCTTTGGGGTATGCATCGGGCATTCAGGTTTGAATGTTAGTTCCTAGTTGTGGCGAGTTAAGCTGGTGCAGAGGTTTGAGGAAAGGGTGAAGAGTGAGAAGATTGTGGCTGCGCAGACTAGTTCTCGGCACCTCTCTGGCGGGAAAGGAGCCGTACCTGGTGCGTGAGGTGGCGATATGGTTGGGCTCACCTCAACACGCAGCACTGGGATCTGGAACCAAACGCCTGGGGACTCTGTCTCAGGCTCACGTGGGCAACGATGGAGCCACCAGTAAGGGGTGAATGGGAGGAACGGCCTGTCCGATCTGAACCCGAGTGCAGTTTTGTTGTTGGACTTCTGTGCTAGTCATGGATTGGCCATTACAAACATCATGGTCTAACATACGGATGTTCATAAGTCTATCTGGTACCAGAGCACTCTAGAGCAAAGATCGATAATCGACTTTGTAGTTGTTTCGTCAGATCTGCGGCTGTATGTTTTGGACAATCGGGTAAAGAGAGGAGCAGAGCTGTCAACTTATCACCACCTGGTGGTGAGTTGGATCAGATGGTGGGAAAGGCTGCCGGACAGACCTGAAAAACCCAAAGGTGTAGTTCGGGTGAACTGAGAACGTCTAACAGAGGCCCCTGTCTGTGGGGTCTTCAACTTCCACCTCAGGAAGAACTTCTCCCTCATCCTGGGGGAGGTCTCAATATTCATGAATGCACACAGATGTCCACCGTGTTTCGTAGTTGCTCAGTTGAGAGGGGGACAATGTTGGACAGGATCTTAATCACAACTTCTCTGATGTTTTCCCCCTCTTCCTCAGGCATGCCATTTAGCCGTAACACCAATCTACGCTTGTATCTTGCATGCTCGAAGCATTCTTCATGAAGCACTGTGAAAAGTGGCCTTCTGTTGCTTCAACTTGTCTGCTATTATCCCTTTCAGGGCTGACGTGTTAGTGTCAATCGACTCCTTTATTTTCATGACCGCTTCTGTATTTTCCTTCAGTTGCCACTCCAAGGCTTGGAAGTGTTCATCTTGAGTATCAAATTTGCAAGTTAAACTTTGAATGGTGTTTAATATAACACGACAAGAAATGTCCTCCTCTTGTGTAGTAGTCTTTTTGACTTTTTTGGGGTCTGGTTTGATCAATGGGGCATGATGTCTTACTTGATGTGGGTCTTGAAACATTATTTTTTTCTTGTTCCATCAGGTGGATTTCCTCATCACCACATGCTTGCTGAAGAGTGGCTAAAGAGTAGCCATGGTCTTTGCTAGCTCCAGCCATCACTTTGGTGTGTCACGTAGAAGGAAGGGATTTATGACGATTTGTAAAATTTGTGTAATTTATAGACAACGCTCGGGATAAGAAAGTGTTCTTTTATTGTTTAATTGTTTGTTTGACTGTTTATTATTGATTGATTTAAGGTCTATTTAAGACTGGTTCCGGAGCCTTCGAAAAAAACAACCGCTCACTCCACCATCTTCCCGGAAGTCCCACGGCGGCTTAATATCACCTCCTACTACGGCTTTCCTGCTCCTGCTCATTCGGAGATAACTCTAAAAGCAGTAAGTTAACATTTAACTTTTCTACAACACGGTTAAAACAAATTATATTCAACCCAAATATTTTATTAAAGTCTTAAAACTACACTTTTTTAAATATACAATTATGGTTATTGACTTTGTCCGGGTTAGCAGAGCAATACATTAGCAAAGTTTTATCATAACATGTTAGAAACATTTTGAGGCTAATCTTTACATTTAAATTCTCACATTGTGTTACAAATCATTACTTGTGTGTAAGAACATGTTTAAGGATAAGAAGTCTGTTTTAAACGGTAAAAGACAGAGCTTTGGTGTCTTTTTTCTTTTCGTTGTTGTTGATAAAACTACTGTTAGACCATAGACTGTAAATAAATATGAGACATCCAGAAGAAATCAATATTACAAAGCATACAGTTCATGTTACTGTTCTGACAAGAAGAGGAATGTCTGTCTTATATTTACTGATGTCAACAGCGATGTGGGTGAACATGACAATTGAAAAATACATATTGTATAATATTGTATATTTATCAACCCTGTGAAGTCATGGCATTTCTGGGAAATTATGGGGAGTTATTAGACTAATTGGCCAAACAAAAACATATAATATGGAATTCATAACAACAAAGCTAACATTAAAAACATGTACATACGACAGAGAGAGCGATAGATGCTA